GGCTCACCACACTTTCTGTGACCTTTTTATCCTGTTTATAGCCTGAATTGAAAATTCATTTTTTTTAAGTTGAACAGAATTTGATCTAGTTAGATTCACTCTCCACCTCCTGTGTGCCTCCCTCTTAATCTTCTAACTGGGAAACTAAAATGTACCTGCCTACTCTGCTATCCTCCAGGAAGCCAGGGGCATCAATTCTCAGTCATTAAATAAGGGGAGAATAAAGAAAAACAAGAAGAATTTCAAATCCACTCACTCATTGGAGCACAATTCATCTTGTCATAAAGGATTCCCTCCGACGTTTCTGTTCCACTTCTACTCACATCACCTGCTGCCACAGGACAGGATTGCATCTTAGGGGTTTATGCTTCTTTGGGCACTGGAGCAGGAGAGGAAATAAACCCACCAAAGAAACCAGGGTTATGACCTACTCTTTTAGTCATATCTCCTACTCCATGCCCTTTTTTTGTTCCTTGGACAAGAGAAGATCTCTCTTGGAGATCTTTCTCTCCATACCCTGTTTACACTTTTGGGACTCAAGCTGTTTTTGAGTAGGGGCCAAGTCTAGGCTGGTATGTGATTGGGGTGGGGGCAGGATTGGATTGTGGTTTATTTGCTACTTTCTACCTGCTACCATTTTCTTTTCAGAGTTCTTAGACAGCTGATTTATGCATTCTGACTAGGGTTTTTGAGCAAATTCAATATAGACCAAGGGATAGTGAGATTACTGCATCTGAATCAGAAACCATTAAAATGTTATGGGTATTTAAAATTGTGTTACATTCATTTACCAAATTTAAAAAATTCCTTATAGTTATAGATGGACAGTGTGCCTTTATTTTATTTTATTTTTTATGTGGTGCTAAGGATTGAACCCAGTGCCTCATACATGCTAGGCAAGCGCTCTGCCACTAAGCTATAGCCACAGTTCTCATTTACCAAATTTTGATTAATTAATGATATAGCTTACAGAAGTATAAAATAATGGAATAGGATTATAACATCCCAGGATTTGAAATTACCTTATAAGTCATTTAGGCTGTTTACCTTTCACAAAAATCCTTTCACCTCAAATAATAAATAGTTAATGATACTTAAGATTAAGTGTTTATATACCAGTGTATTAAACTGCTTGTCTACATTAAGTTATTTATTTGCACATAATCCTATTGGAACAATATAATTCTTTGATCTCCTTTGAACTGATGCAGAAATAAAATTCTAGAAAGCCTTTCCTCTAAAAATAAGGTCTTTGAACTAGTCACATTGCCATTACTTTGGGAGCCTATAAGGAATGTAGAATCTTGGGTTTCGATCCACACTTTGCATTTGAACAAGATCTCCCAGGTGATTTTACTTGAAGGTTAATTTTTTTCAAATCACTGGTTATAAATAACTTTATCATCATGGTCATGCAAGTAAGTTTAGGCAGTGTGGTCAGACCATCAGGGTACAGAGCTATGGATCCTCAAATTGTGAACCATCAGGGACATGGCTTGTATTTTTTAAACTTCACAGTTTAAAAACAGTTTTGTAGCAAATGAGCACACCTAGATATTAGATTCAAACTTCTCTTTTAGTTTACAATCTTTATCTTTCATAATATTGGGCAATATACCATGTGTACAGTGGTATGCAGAGCTGTTTCACTTGTGTGCCCGTTTTTATTGGTTCATTCATTGAAGTCAATGTACATTTATTTATAATGCATTCTGTATATCACAAGTCTTTTCTGCCTTTTGTGTCTGTGATGATAGGTAACAGTTAATCTGTTCCAGATGCAGCACTTGCAGGCTGCCTCCCTTGCAAACAGTTTAGTCTTTCACTGTGATAGCGCCAAACTTTATGATCCAGGCCAAGAGTACAGTGAATTTGTGAAGGCTACAAAGTCAACTGAAGAAGAAAAAGTTGATGGGTAAGAATTAATATCTAGATGAATTTCTAGAAATAAAACATTTACTAAGTTCCTATGTGGTATAAAGAGGTATATTTTCTAATATTGATAGAATTAACTTTAAAAATTTCTGGAAAATTTTATTTGTATTATTTTGTGGTTTCTTAGTAAGTCTCACTTGAGAGTAAAGCTTTCCATTTTGATACTGACCTCACTCTGTGAGACTTAAAAATCCTTTGGGAATGGCAAATGACAATCATATCATACACATTTTGAATGTCCACAAAATTTAACCTATATTTTCCACTGAGATGATACTACAAAAGTTTAATCATAACATGCATTACTGACTGTTGCTATTTCTATCAATGTTTCAACTGTGAAAATAAA